GTCAGCCCCGAGTTTGGCGTTCATATTACCCAATTAGATTTTGATGTCACCATTAGGGCTGCTGTTCATTGCTGTTTGCAATAGTCTGAGTTATCTGTAGGAATGCTGAATTGAATAATCTTGAGTTTCTTACCTTTTGAGTTCAGTTATTCCGTAATTATCCTAACGGAGATTGTTTCCCATTGCATAAGAAACTTGTATATTTTCGGTGACGTCATGATAGCCACTCCCCTAGTGTGCTCATGGTTATCGTCTGGGTGGCCACCGTAGATTACTGGCTCTTCAGTCAAGGTCCATGTCCATCATACTTGCACTGAGAGATTCTTAACGCTTCTATTTTCGTATCCTCTCATCTCTTTGGCGACCTGGGTAGTCTTCTGAGCTTCTTGCATTTTTGGAACATTTCATGTCCCAATGCTTCCCTTTGCTTTCATTGAAAGATGATTTGTTGGCTGACTGGCTTGTTGAAGCCTCTCATCACCCCGTGTAATTCCATCTCCCCGAACCCAGAGATGAATAACTATTATTTTTTAGTTGTGCCCTGAATTTTATTTAGCGATTGGGTTGATTTTTCGAGGTAAGGTATCTAGCCTTACACCCAATCCTCCTACTTTTTGTGGACCTAAGACCTGCTAGTGGACTAGGCAAGGTCCGTGTAGTAAGGGTGCTTTTTATTTATTCAACAATTTTAAGTTAATGGTACGGCACTGTAGGGGGCTACTAAATTATACTATTTGGATGAATTCGAGTTTTTTCCTGTGGGCTCAAGCTAGAGAAATGCTCATGATTGTCGTGTGCCCACAGAAATCATGCACACATTCTTCGAAACTCCAATAGTTCCTGTCTCCACGGATCTCTTAGAGGATTCTCACTGCCTGAAAGTATCTCAATTCCCACTATCAAAACTGAAGACAGAGATTATGGGTTTATTATGGTTGAGACAGGTGTTGCTTCAGGATAACTGACACTTGCTAGAACATCTCAACCAATTTCGTAGTAACGACCCCTGTCCTCTGGTTCTAACACTAGCTTGTCTCCTCTTGACTTAATGCTTATGATTTGTCCTTGTTTTGAGTTGATGCCTACTTTTGATGCTTAACTTGGCCATTGTATGTTGCTGTCAGTAAAGTGTTGGTTTTCGATTGCCTTGTTGTTTAATTGAACCCGACGTTTTACCGTGGAGTGGCCAAAATTTACGTGACAATCACATATGACAAGATTAGGAAAATACCGATCAGTGGGGTTTGCTGATTTTTGTTTATCTTCACTAACCTCCTCATCCGTACTGATGAAAAAACTGATCATCAAAGATAAAACATCCGAGGCCCTACTAAACTAACGAATGTCTTTGACGTCACAAAGTACTCAGGATTATGTTTGTTAGCTAATTTGTAATCACTGATTGATATCTCCGAGGACATCCCGGTTTCACTTTGAATGAAAGCTAATTTAAACTTCACAAATCGCCACTTTAAATGCTCCCCACTTATATTCATTTACTTTAAGGCTCTGACGAAGTGTATCGAAAATGTGTGAGTCGCTATTATGTTACTTTGTCCATATAACAAGGTCACTGACACAGAGTATTTTATATGCTAACAAACATTTCTGCCACCAGTTACAGTGATTATGATCAGAGACTATACTGGCAGAACTAGACTTGCTTAGTTTAGAAACCGCAGTGCATGAGAAAGTTCTTATTACGAGAAGTTAATTATCGGAAAGATGGATTCTATCGATTTTCACTTTTTCGCCCTTTAAGCTTCGATTCCGGGAGGAAGTGCGAGGTACGGAATCTGGTGGACCAAAATAGTGTAAAGAAACGTAATCTATTATTTCCTGTCTAACGAGATTTTTTGACTCTAGTAGCTGGCGAGGGGGATGAGAAAGAAATCTGATAATATCAGGCGGCTTGTTTGAATCGCTGGACAACCAAATTGATTAATCCCATCTGGACTTCCCATTGCTTCGATCGTCTAGTTATTTCAAGTGACCCATACATGAACTTGCGCGCTGAATTGCTTCCAATTAAACGCTGTACAATTCTTCGACGAAGTGAAGATGTACTTCAGATAATTACTTTACGTGTAAACCGCGTGCCAAGAAAAAAGTATTTTGGAACTAAATACCCTGAAAATGTTTTTACCATACATTCGCATTTTGTCTGAAGTAAAGCCTTATTATTATATTAATCATCAAAGTTCATAAAATTGGTGGTGAACGCTTACACGCTGACCCAAATCTGACCAGCTCAGCATGTATATTTTACGTTACTCGGAGTCCTTGGTCATTCGCAGAAGGTAGGCCAAGAATGGTGTCAACTGCATGATGGTAGAATACCAGACAACCAAGCATGTGGTTCGGGGTTCGATCCGCGGCCATCGACGCGCTCCTTCACTTCGCTTGGCCAGTTATAAGACTGGCAAAGAGGGAAGGTTGGGCAAGAGACTAACCACCCGATCCTGTGAAAATAACACCACTACTGCTGGAACTTCAAAGCTCTAGCTAGTAGCCCTATATTCCACTGGGACCTTAAATCGAAAAGGTCACAAATGACAATTCCAAGAAAAGAAGTCAGATTTCAAGCCTAAATGATGGTGCAAATATCTCTTATGACGCGCATGCTTACTGATTTGGGTGCTAAAAAGATATGCTGTTGGGAAACGAATTTATGAGGCATTTTTTAGATTGTGGTGGTGAGTGCTGCACTCTTAGGGTATTCAGTACCGCAAACGTAAACTGTATTTTGAATAGATATGTTCGTGGATGCAAATTTAACTCGTCCTAAAGATTCGCGGTTTAAAACAACATCGCGAAATGAGCTGACTGATTTGGAACACACAAGTAATATAGTCCTGATAGGTGGTGGTGCTGAAAAAGAGGTCTTGTAGAAACTGGAATGGGCTTCGCATGTGTTTCAATGTGCTCATATATGAACTTATATTACGGAAGTGACTTCTACAGCGTTACGTGTGCAAGTGATTGAAGTCCACTCACATTAGAAAACCTGGTTACGGGAAAAAGTTCCAGATAGCTATTAGCATTGCGTATGTTGGTAACAAACGCTGAGGTCATTTTGTCTTTTTTGTCTTCATGAGCAGGAATAATATGGCGACGGTCTATTCCCCTACGAATGATAAGTGTGAATAAAGTAGTGAATTTTCAAATATACGTACAGGTGGGTGTAACAGAAATGTGGAATAACTACAAAAATTATGTATCTAATATTTGTCACGGTGAAAAAGTAAATGCCGAGAGATGACTGGCAGTGAATAAATAAACAGTAATCCCAGATGACACATTCAATAAACATCAGAACACTAGGTGTCAATGTAGTTGAAGATTGAACGATCAATTCATGGTTGTTTGCTCAAACCCAACTTCCCCAATTTTCGTGGAGGCATCAATACACCAGTCATCGTCTCATCGATCGCTGTTCAGAAAGAACGTAGAAAAACCGTCGGAAGTAATATTGTGATTTATTACTGTAATATTTGTTCATAGACATTAGTTGTAAAGTTGGGCATATGTTGATGTTAGAATAAAGAATCCTCGAGTCGCCAATCGGTGTTCTCGTTTTTGCGTCCGTTATTACTAAGCGTTTCTGAGAAACTTCAAGGAACAGCGTGAGCCCGAGTGCAGCAAGAGCTGGGCATTACCGGTTTACGAGACGTGACTGACAGTAATTTCTTACAGTGAAGTCGGTTTCTGACGGCGGAAACATTTTCTGACGGATTCAAACAGTTGGTAAAAGTTCGGATAGTCGCCGTTCATTTTTCCTGGTGCCGGTCAATTCCTCTTTGAACAAGCAATATCTGGAACTTTTTGGAATTAGGTCAAGTTCAACAATGCCTGGGTCAAAGAAGGGACAGAGCGTCTTGGATGAAAACAGGAAAGTAAGTCATGGTGACTTGTCTGTTAATTGTAACGATGTGTCTGATGTTAAGTATGACATGGTTGATGTTACTGTTTCGCCGTTCAGGGATAATAGGAACATCAAACTCCCTAAATTTGAACCACGGTGTTTCGATGGAAACCCGGCTATTATTTACAATTTGTAAAGGAGTTTGAGATCATGTTGAGTGGTTTTTTATTAAATGATGAATTGAAGTTAGTGTATTTGATGAGATATTGCACTGGAGATGCTTCAAGAGCTATACAGTGTTGTAAGTTTATGAAGCCAAAAGAGGGCTACTACGAGGCTATGAGCATATTACGTCAAAGGTTTGGAAGACCTTCGATGATTGCAGGGAAATTATTCGAGGCTGTTAAGGGTAATGGTGGTCAATTACAGGATGACTCCCAGGCACTCACTGAGTTTTGGGATAATTTGCTGATTTACAAGAATGCATTGATTTCGATGAATCGCATGAGTGACCTCAACTCGAGTTTTATCCTAAAAGTAATAGCAAGACGCCTACCTACTCGACTGCAAAGGAAGTGGGTGAAGATGAGCTCCCGTATGGAGGATGAGGGTATCGAGCCAAAGTTTGATGATATCCTGAAACTGGTAAAAGATAGCGTCAATCAATCTATGAGCAAGTTTGCCAGTATATTGAATCTCACCCCTAGAATATAGCAGTCTGAGGGCAAAACGCAATCATTGATGACGAATGGGCCTCAGAGAGGTGGATATCGAGAAGGCTGTATGGTGTCTAGTAATGCATATAGACCTAGTGAGTGTAACAGGTTTCGTAGTACATCCTCAACAGATAAGTTACAAGATGCAAGACAAACACGGTTGTGTTTTACACGTTTTCAAGAGGTGCATACAGAAGTGAACTGTGAACCGGTGAGCAAGTTCAGTGATAAGCTAAATGTAAACTCCAGGCCTTACTCCGAATTGTGTGACGATAATAGCGCGGTGAAGAAGTCTGTAGTTGCAACTGGTAAGCCGTTGTTGAATAAGTGTCACAGAATAGAGTTGCTGCTTCAGAGTGCAGTTCTGACCCTACAAGTTTACAAGGTATTACTAGTCAGAGTGAAGTTATAAAACCTTTATGATTTGCGAGGAGGAACCAAAATTGTCTACTTCTGTTATTAAAGAGTTTGAAAATGATGAAGTTGACGGTAAAGTGAATATTCGTGATAATGATCATGATACTTCACAGTTGTCTTTGGTTGATCATTATGAGATGAGGGATATGCCTACTACTGCTAAGTTAAATAAAGGTTCTGTACAACTACAACGTGAAGTAGAATTGAACGCAGATGCAGTTCCAGAAGGTGTGCATACTTGTGAGACAGTCAGTGTAATTGATCAGCGTGTAGCCCACCTATCATCAGATGATAGTGCTAAACCCGAACTAGTAGTGAAAGACAGCAGTGGTGGTAATCTTGCAGTTAGACAACTATCTGAAAGCCGAAAAAGAACAGCTTCTGATCCACCGATAAGTTCATCAACTGGTATCAATCAGTTGTCGTTGGTGTTGTCATCCACAATGAAACAGACGCCCATCAACTCAAGTATCTTGTGCAATGACTATGATAGTATTGGTGCGTTTGAAAAGACGAAAGATATTGCTCAGTTTAGTGAGGATAAGCCAAGTGTAAACGAGAGGGTAATTGTTAAATTGACTTGCATGAATAAAGGCATTTCTAGTTTCAAGTTACTATTTGAATGCTATTATCTTTGGTGTAAATTACTCTGTTTCTACACTTGGTTGATGAGATATGTCGTGTGTTTGTTCGTCATCTATATTCTACGATACAATGACATGAGCGTGTTACCGTTCAGATTTGAGGATATAGCTGATAAAAGGAAGTCAGCAAATGAACTCTGCGACGATTTTCCAACCTAGAGCGTCAACCTGAGAAGGGTTGTAGGCGTACTGCTGTAAGTCCTACAATTCTTCAAAGGGTAGCGCATCAATGAGCAGTCCAATGTGCTTGGTGTGTGGTTTTGTACATATGTTCATATTGTATATACTGAATTGATATCATATGTCATCTAGCTGTTGGTAATTCTGTTTGTGTCCGGACGACTTCCACTTGGATCATCAACCTGAAAAGGAATGTAGGCGTACTGCTGTAAGTCCTACAGTTCTTCAAAAGTAGTTCGTCAAGGCAGAATCCACCACATTTGATGTGTTGTTTGTACATATGTTTGTGTTAAATAACTGTGTGAGTTCCAATTATTGTAATTGTTGGTTAATCTTGTTTGTGTCGGGACATTCCACAACTTACAATCGTCAACGTGAGAAGGGTTGTAGGCGTACTGGTGTAAGTCCTGCAATTCTTCAAAGGAATTCCACCAAGACATGATCGGCGAGGTTGTTTGTACAATTTGTATATACGTGTGGTGTGTCATATCAATGGGTGTTTTTGGATTCATTGTGTTTACTTGTTGTTTTCGTACCTTGTTGTTATTGCGTAATTTTGTTAAAATTTTCGTCGTGATTACTTCTGAAGTTGTTTCTAGTCTTCTACATCCGTGAATGAATTGATTGATGTTAGAGACAGCAGATGGGTCGTATACGCCGGGGAGGCTATTTCTGAGAATGAAATACATAGGGAGATAATTGTTAGCTGCGGTCCCCCACGCCGGGGGGCGGGAGTGTAGACGACTGAGGCTTGCATACGTCGCCGTTACTAGAACTGAGGCAGAATGGGTGACAAGCGATTGCAGTGGTAATTGGCAGTGAGTGGATAAGAGTATGTGCGTCGAGTATCGTGAGGTGCTGCTATGGTCACGTTGCATTCTGCAAGAGTCATTCTAGCAAGTGGCGATTGTGTTGCAAGATGTCAAGAGAAGGTCTCTTTCTGGAGGCGCAGGTCGTCATTGATGTGTGAGATTGTGCTGTGGGTATGCTTGTGGTGTGTTGGCTTTTCTGTTTGTTTTCCATTTCAGCTCTGTCCATGTGACCCAGGTTCTCGCAATGGCATCCAAGTCAAAGTGTATTGGTCGTGATGGAAAAAAGGGATGGATCCCTTTTTTGCCGGGGAGTGTCAATGGAGTTGAAGATTGAACGATCAATTCATGGTTGTTTGCTCAAACCCAACTTCCCCAATTTTCGTGGAGGCATCAATACACCAGTCATCGTCTCATCGATCGCTGTTCAGAAAGAAGAGTAAAATATCGTCAGAAGTAATATAACGATTTATTATTGTAATATTTGTTTACAGACCTTAGTTCGCTTATTCCTTTTATATGTTGGTGTAACAATAAACAAATCTCAAGCGGCAGATCGGTGTTTTGGTTTTTGCGTCCGTTATAACTAAGCGTTTCTGAATCTTCGAAGAACAGCGTGGGCCCGAGCGTAGCGAGAGCTGGGCATTAACGGTTTATGAGACGTGATTGACAGCCATCATTGCAAATGCACTCTGGTACTAGCGGAGTGAGGTCCACACCCATTAACGAATACGTTTCATTAATTGCGGTAACATCATGTTGTAGTATTCTAGATAATGCTTCTAGTTGTGAAATCTTGCTCCTGTGACTATATGCGTTCGTATAAATCTATATGCTCATCCAACTTCTTAATAGACGTCTCGACAACGTAGGTTTCCAAGACCTCACCACCCAAAAACCCGTTATTTAAGATTCTTTCCTCTTTCTCTTATCGAGGCTTCTAATGCTCTACGGCTTCTCTCCTTTGAATCCTATCTTCCAGAGTTCAACCAGGCCTTGTTCCCAAACTTCTATTCTTGCTATATTAGAAAGAAAGCTGCAGTGAAGAAAATGCACTTTCTGACGAAGCAATAAACTTTGCTTCTGCTGAGATAATATTTTTCATCACTCCATTCTATAGTTATTTTTTCAACAGTCGTCGAGAATTTTTCATGAAATCAGAATCTTATTTGCCGGTTGCTATACAAATTCCATTTGTCGTTTCTGGTAGTTGGTCGCGAGTAATAGAACAAACTGCCTCTAAACCATTCCCATGTCGGCCGGCAAGATCCACTTCCCTCGATTCACGCAAATTCAGGACAATCAGACTATAATTGGGGTCAGTAGATTTCGAAATGGCGTTAATTACCGTAGAGACCCTATTATTAGATCCAATGGTTTTGCCTTTACTACGGCTTTTCAACTTCCTACTTTTTGGTGCTACCTAGGTGGAGTTAGTTCCTTCTATTGTTCTGTCACCGCATCTAGGAGTCATCCGCCCATCCGAAACTCTTCTCCTTGTCCTATTGGTTTTGCCATCTGATCTCACGATGCCGGCACTGTTTGGCCTCTCGGATTTTCGAGGTTTCTTGAATGTCCTGGTGGGAGCTCTTTGGACACATGCACTCTTTTGTATTCGCTAATTCAGGATGAAGTCTCACCTCAATTTTCTGGCTCCGTGCAGAGTTGTCGTTCCCGACATCAGACGCCCACTTGTTCCCCTCATCTAACTTTTTAGTCAGCTTCTTGGGAACAATGAGTACGATGGCCTTCTGATTGGCAACGTCCAAAGAATTGCTCCAGAACTTGCACGCCCACGGAGATGATAGCTCACCATTTCTCTCACAAGTCCAGTGTGATAAGCCAGTGCAAACCTTATGAGCTGAGATAAAATGCCTTGTACTATGATCCAGGAATGGACGGCGGACTATTTCTACCTTCTGCCTTCCACGGCAAGACTTTCCCGGTAAACAGGCTGACGGTAATTCTCAGGTTAACTATTTTCGTGAACAGTACGGTAGGCGCCAGTTTGTCAGATGCCTTTCCGAAATCCTTAAAGACGGTGTTGATGTGCTCCTAGAGTCGAACAGGCTTTCTGTAAGGGGTAACTTTTCCCGAAAACTATGTCGTGCTTTGGATGGAAATTTTTGTTTTCCTTATAATCCATTACCGCTCTTATTTGTTGAAAAAGGTATTTCGCATTCCGGACTGAAATGCTTGAGTGATATGTCCCAAAACCGAACAGCTTTCCTGATCATGTTCACCGGCAACTTAAATAAGGTGTAAGCGGGACAAGAAGCCTTCTAGTCTGAAGGGAATGTCTGGAGCTTGCCGTCGTTGCCCGTAGAGGTGACGCCCTACTCTTGAGTAATAGCCTTAGGGTGGCGTAAGATTGTCACTCCCTGGGAAAGCTCGTAGGAGATTCATCAGCCTACCTGAACCCTATATCTAGTTTGTCTAAGGATCCACATAAAATCTTTTCGTTAACATCAAGAGAGTAAATGGCGTTTTCCGGCAATGAGTTTCGTCAAATAGTGACCTCACATTAATCAGCAGGCATTTCAGAGCAAACAAAGTTGTGGACGAGCAGTTTAAATGAGGACTAGGATACGGTCGCCTGATATTATGAGGCATCAATAGGACTAGGTTAGTGAATATACCTTTAGATGAAAAGGCAAGGTTGAATTAGTCCCTTCAAGGACCTCTGCACAAACAACAACTACTGGGTTTCCCCTGACCGAAATTACAACTTTGCCAAGGTTTACATAAGCATAGCACGAGTCAGTGGGCCTGTAGATGTTGCAAATGTCGGACGAAAATATGGCATATCTCATTTTGAAGGGCGTCAACTATGTATGATGAGATTTAGAGCGTTTCACTAAAAATAGGCAAGATATACGGAATGATTTCATGAAAATTCGTCACGTCTCGTAAACCGTTAATGCCCAGCTCTTGCTGCACTCGGGCTCACGCTGTTCCTTGAAGTTTCTCAGAAACGCTTAGTAATAACGGACGCAAAAACGAGAACACCGATTGGCGACTCGAGGATTCTTTATTCTAACATCAACATATGCCCAACTTTACAACTAATGTCTATGAACAAATATTACAGTAATAAATCACAATATTACTTCCGACGGTTTTTCTACGTTCTTTCTGAACAGCGATCGATGAGACGATGACTGGTGTATTGATGCCTCCACGAAAATTGGGGAAGTTGGGTTTGAGCAAACAACCATGAATTGACCGTTCAATCTTCAGCTACATTGACACCTAGTGTTCTGTGAATGTGTCATCTGGGATTACTGTTTATTTATTACTGCCAGTCATCCTCGGCATTTACTTTTCACCGTGACAAATATTAGATACATAATTTTTGTAGTATTCCACTCTGTTACACCCACCTGTACGTATATTTGAAAATTCACTACTTTATTCACACTTATCATTCGTAGGGGAATAGACCGTCGCCATATTATTCCTGCTCATGAAGACAAAAAAGACAAAATGACCTCAGCGTTTGTTACCAACATACGCAATGCTAATAGCTATCTGGAACTTTTTCCCGTAACCAGGTTTTCTAATGTGAGTGGACTTCAATCACTTGCACACGTAACGCTGTAGAAGTCACTTCCGTAATATAAGTTCATATATGAGCACATTGAAACACATGCGAAGCCCATTCCAGTTTCTACAAGACCTCTTTTTCAGCACCACCACCTATCAGGACTATATTACTTGTGTGTTCCAAATCAGTCAGCTCATTTCGCGATGTTGTTTTAAACCGCGAATCTTTAGGACGAGTTAAATTTGCATCCACGAACATATCTATTCAAAATACAGTTTACGTTTGCGGTACTGAATACCCTAAGAGTGCAGCACTCCACCACAATCTAAAAAATGCCTCATAAATTCGTTTCCCAACAGCATATCTTTTTAGCACCCAAATCA